TGTCCATTTCACACTGTACTATGCACTTAGCTTAGCTTAGTAGTATCACGTATAGTGACGCTGTCCATTTTACACTGTACTATGCACTTAGCTTAGCTTAGTAGTATCATGTATAGTGACGCTGTCCATTTCACACTGTACTATGCACTTAGCTTAGCTTAGTAGTACGCGATTTAGATAATTTAATTTGCAACTAAATCTCAGATGAAGCTAAAATTGTTGAAATAGCATGCAACAGTAATATAATGTACTTCACCGACTTAGCGTCCAGGGTACTCAGCTCTAAAGTATTGAGCACCCCTCAAAAAAAGTGTGCAAATGACAATTTTAGTTCGCCATGTGACAGATTGAGGCAAATATTGCGTCTTTTGGAGGAAAATAAAATTTAACACTTTAACAATGAAACAGATATGGTCTCAAAAAATATACACATTTTTTTACAATATTGAGTACATACCACCATAATTTACAAAATTATTAAAGTCAAAATTTCCATCCTTATCTCCATTGACAAATGTGTTCGATCGTATGCAAACTATTGATGAAAAGCCATGATGTTTTCTTGCACGATTTGACCTGATAAATCAGAATGCTGTATTGTACCGATGCTTTTGGCCAGGAGTTTCTGTAGGCAATTTTGGTAACACAATGCAGAAGTGAATTATCAATGTCCAAGTATGATCTGTTCGAACTGATTTTGGTGAAAAAAAAATGGTAATTAGCAATTTTTGAAAGGTAAACTAAATATAGAATGAAGTACAGTACAGTTCTCGCGTAAGCTTTGGCTTTTGTGGCATCATTGTCGCATACGCATGGCTTCATTGTCGCCTCAGCATCGCATCATTGTGGCATCATGCTTCGCGTCATTGAAAATTGAAGCTGTGTTTGCCTGGCTTATTTTGTGGCATCATCGTGGCCTCAGCTTCGCAGTCTCATGGCATCAACATGGCATCAGCTTCAACGTATTGTGACATGAGTATGACCTCATTATTTTCACACGGAAAGGCAGTAGAGAAAAACACATACACGGAAGTTCAGTATGTAATCAATTTGAAATTCAAGGCGAATAAAATAATATGATCAAGAGTAAATTGACATTTTAAAAAGATATCTTGTTTAATTATTTTAGTGTTGCGAGTATTGGGCACCAACAACTTTGCGAAGTACATTACAATCGGCAAGGTGACGAGTTTCATATTGACTGCAAGGAAAATCGTGATAAATTCAAATCACACGATGCAATCGTCGTTCTGATACAACGCATTTGCTATATACGAAGTGAAACTGTTCTTGTTATAAAATTACCTTTTTTTCACTCATTTTATTTGCTGCTAAGATTCAGATTCCTCATTTCAGTGGTAGTTTTCTGTGTATCGTTTAATTTTAACTGAATCCGATCCCATGCCCGGACTACTAAAACATGCAAAACACACGTACGCTGACTGGTGTGTCGTCGCCAGTCATCTTGATACAAAGTTCCAAAACAAGTGCATACATTTCCAACATATGATTGGATGTTGTGGTGGCATCGGTCTGGTAGAATTTGACAACCAATTCTCGAAATTAAGTCACGATCAGTGATCTGAGCTCGATCTATACGTACTTTAAAAGTATTCTCACTAACATATTTTCGAATGAAAACGAGCCACATGCCCTGTAAAAAATCGAATAGCGCTTGACATGCAGGAATAATTTATTGGGCGTCAGAAAAAAACGTGTCAATTTAGTTGTAGTCGTAAATATTTGGTGACCAGCCGATGAACAATTTGAAAATCATGATTCACACGGAAGTCCTTCGATACTGAAAATCATCGACCCTAGTCTAGTTTACCTTATTTCCCAACTTGCAAAACTGATTTGTATCTTAGCTCTTTTTTTTTTTTTTTTTCTTTTTTTGAACTGAACATCCGTTTGTCAAAATATACCGATGTTTTTCAGTGAATAATTGCGAAGCACCGAAAAAAAAACCTTGTGAATCGACGATGGAGATTGGATGGTACGACGACCCTTCAATTTGCGTCAAATATGTTTTGTTACAACATCATTGATTGGCTGAGAGTCACCTGATAGGAGCACGACCTGGGTCACAGAATCATATTTGTCCGTATTATCAACAGGACTTTGCGAGAAAACCACACCCACATTTTCAACCATTTTAGCGCGGAAGTTGCCAACAAATGTCGGAAACTCGTGAATTTTATGAACTCGAATAAAATAAAGCTAGCGATTGGTAAGACTGGTTAATAATATATCCCCCGATGCTCTTCGAATTTTTTAAATTTTATTTCAAGGCGAGAAATGGATAATTGAAGTTCCATCGATTTCAAGGCGACTTTCACCGCGACAACTCTACGCTGTGTTGTAGTTTCACGAGGTAAAAAAATATATATAATAAATAGTACATGTTTAATTATTTGGTTTTACAGCCCACAAATTACGGGACATGATCCCCATGAATTACGATAAATAAATGCTGATTGTGTTGAAAAATGGACGTCGGGACCGTTTGGAGAAACCAACGGGGATCGATATTCCAAACAAATTATTGGGAAATGAAATTATTAACGAAAGAAGAGATTTTTCCAGATATTTACGAACATAGTGTTACAACAAATATATGCAAAATTGACAAATACACAAAGAGATATTAAGTTTTATTTTAGCCCTAGAAATATTTCCTTTCACTCAGTCCATGCGTGGGACTTCTATTTAGCTTCATGGTCCTTCGGCTTGTGTTCTCCTTGGGGGAAATAACAATAATTATACAAATCGTAAACTCAACACAGTCAGGAAAAGAAACAACCATGTCGTACTAGCAGTGCGTCACATCAGAATATTGTTTAAAATAAAATAGTCAATCCCAGCCAAATCTAGGTCACAGGGTCAGATTGCGTGCATATAATTATAGATAGTTAAAACAAAAAGTATTTGAACTTTTGACGGTTGTTCAACATCTATGCAAGGTTACTAAACTAGTAACCGTGATCTATGAAAACCAGAAAATTGTTAGTAGTACGAATTTTTGCGCAGTCGAAAATAAAGCAGAAATTCAACAAGCAGTCGCAAAAGCGAGCGATTGATAAGCGGAAGCGGGCGAGAGGTTGGGCGAAATGAGTTCTGTACGTCTTTGTTTGATGAAGTGATGCTGATGCCACATTGTCGCCATAATGAGGCCACAATGAAGCGAAGCGATAACCGCCTAACATTTTAATGTCGCGACATTGAAGCGATGTTGAAGCCATAACAATGCCATAATGATGCGATGCTGAAGTGAAGCCAAAGCTTCCGCGAGAACTGTACTAAACGCTAGGACGATTCGGAACAATGTATCACTTGAAGTACAAAGGATGAAGTCTGTCTTAATTAACACTCTTTGTCTATTTAAAGACAAGGGTGGATTCACACCTTAGAATTTTAATCCTTGGCGTCAATTAATATGATTGGTTGTTTTAATTGAGCCAATCAGGGAGAATACACTTATGTAAACTGATAGAAATTTCTGAATACAGGCCAACGTATGTTTCTTTGCGTCACGAAAACAGCATAAATCTATAGAAACTTTGACTACAACTACTCAATCTTGACAACATAACTGGAGATAATAAACGCTGATAATTACATAAAACAATGACGTAAATCTGATAAAAAGAAGCATAATTATCAATTTTAAGCTTTCACACTGATATCTAAAGTACTAATTATTCCATTTCAATGAAACTTAGTACAAAGATGCTCTAGGACAATGTACAAACCTAATTAGTTTGGGGTAAAAATCTGTTCATATTAATTCATAATTTTTTGGTTCTAATCACATTTCAATTAAACTTGGTACATAGATTTTCTGTTACATTGCGCAGACCTCATTAGTTTTAAACTAAAATCTGTTCATATTAATTTTCTGATTTGCAATTAAGTAATTTCGAATTCTTTCTAAGCTTTCTTTGATTCAATATATAGAACAAGTATATATGTATATCTGTATACTCTTTCTATGAAAAATTTAGGTAATTTTTGCACTAATATTGTATGCATTATAGAAAAACAGATCAATTAATATATATTATATTTCTATGTGTACAGCAAATGAGGCTGCAGGTAAACGTAAGAGAGAGACTGATTTGCCAGTTTTAGAACAAGGAGAGAATACAGATAATCCGTTAAGATGTCCTGTCAAATTGTATGAGTTTTACCTTTCAAAATGGTGAGTATTTGTTCATATATCTTGATATCTTTGACAGTTTCAAAGCCAGAATATGTACATGAAACTGTCAATAAATTTGAAGCATCCAGTTTAATCATAAACCTTGCCCAGTCAACTGACCTCTACCCAATCAACTGACCTTGCCCAATGAACTACTCGGGCACAGTCATATTACATCAATGCCGACTTTCATATATTTTCATATACTTTCAACTATTTTGTGACATATCAGACCATTATATGATGGTCTACTCCTATAATATTTCTCTCTTTTAATTCATGCTATAACTTTGACATAAACAGCAGGTGAGTAATGACAAATAACATACAACAATAACAAATTATGCAAAATAGATCTTTTCTAGAATGCCATTGATATTATTTATACCTGTTTGGGGCTTGTTTTTGGTTCCCATTTTTGTTGTACTGGGTTTCGTTTCTCATACCTTGTACATTGTCTATGGTTTTCCAAAAAAGAAAATTGTTTCTACTCTGTTTCTTTATGGTCTAAACACTGGTGATTACGTTAGAACTCCATCATGAGTGTGTGCACACTGCCTCATAATCATACTGTCCTCTCCCTGGGAACTTATCTGTGACTAACTGAACCATCCACGATATGAAATCAACAAACATCAACTTATTTATTTGCAGCTAGCCTATTAAAATTATCATAGTACATGATTTTGTTCATTCATATGTTCTGTTCAGTGGGTGCTGAAATCAACAGATAAAAAAATGCAATCTCCCTATATCAACTTACCTTGGAAGATTCATAGTGGTGTCTGTTATGACTTGCCAATTTGCATCCCTACATGTGCAGTATGCAATTTTTCATTTTACCTATGTAACCAAAGTGTTATAGTGAGGAAGAAAAATATGGCTGAATATCATGAGATATTGTCATTCATATTCAAATTACAACTATGCCCTATTAACGATTATTTTTGAATCACTGTGCAGATGGTTCTCTGTAGACAGTTGATTTGTGGGAGAAAGTTTTCAATGAGATTTTAAGCAAAGGAATTGCATCTAATGTTAAAACGATATATTTTGACTTGTATATTAAACACAGATCATAAGAATGCTAGGAATCCTCCAAAGGAAATATATGTAGTGGTTTTCATGCTCATTTTTTTTCGACACCCACTGTAATATTG